CTCTACAGCACGTCTCTTTCTCTTGCTCCTGTGTTTTGGTTTTCATGCAGCTGGAGCACTTGTCTCTGTCGATCTACTGGATTCCTGTACTGTCACACCATTTACAGCATTACATTGTTTAGCTTCTTGTACACGCACTGATTTCACTTTACTGACTGAAAACTGTCAGGACCCTGTTCCTGAAAATATTGTATGTGGGAACGTCCTTATTTACAGCAACACTATTGATAGAGTAATTGCTGGAGAGACTGGAGTGAAATAGTTTTCTCAAGAGTACAACAGCTTTGTCTCTTCTGAGATTTGAACCTGCAGCCCCCCAGTCACTATTACTCTGTAAGCTAGAGGAACACGCGTTGATGTTGATAAGTTGGTATTTTGTGTGGTGCTTTTTACGCGGTGAGAAAGAGAGCTTCCTCTTTAACCACACTGTTGTGCTGTTCAGTACACTTCCTTGATTTCGAGCCCTGTGGTAAATGTTTTGAGTGTGTAAGGGCGTTGGAAATAGAGTGTGGGGACGTGTCTTCGCTGTTTCGACACCGCCAGTTCTGTTTGAGGAGCTGAGAAAATTGTCATTTTCTCAGCCGAGCTGCAGTTAGGGGGCGCTGCTGGCGCATCCCTGCCTGCTCGAATCGAAGGAGTGGGGGAAGAGCGAGTGACCGGGGGTGGGGTGGGGTGTCCTGTCAGCGCTGGCAGGAGGGGTGACTGGCATCACAGAGGCGCAGGGAGGGAGGTATTCCCGAGAGGATCTGCGGGGAGGTCAGCCCCAGGCCCCAGGCCCCATGCCTCAGCACGTCTGCTGTCTGTCTTGTCCCACAGGGACCGAACGAGGAGGCGGTGGTGGACCAGGGGGGAACCAGCTCGGTCCTCAACATCCACTATGAGAAGGAGGAGCTAGAAGGTGAGTGAGTTGCCTGCGTGCTACACCTGTCTTCTCACCCCCAGCCAGCAGACACCCTCGTTACACTGCCCCCTGCTGGCGGGGTACACATGTTTCTGCACATCAGCAGCTGATGCTCTGCCAGATGCACTGGGGCTCCCGGGGGGAAAGGAAGCAGGTCGGAGTGCCCTCTGCCATTTCTGAAGGCCCCTCCCACGACGCCACCAGGCCTGCAGCGGCGATCCGGGCAGGTGCCCCCTGGCTGGAGCCGTGGCCCAGCAGGAACTGGGGGAGAGAGGGATACGCGCTGCCCATCTGGCACGGCAGGCTCCAGCCGCGGGCACGCCCGATGTTACCCCTCCCAGGGGCAGAAGGCAGAGTGAGAGGCGGTAAAGCACGGGGGCTTCTGAAGTCGAGCAGGAAGACAACGCAGAATCCGGGACACCGCTTAGCGAATGATGTGTGCAGTAGTTCAACAAGCTGGGGAAAACCCTGCAGAAGTTTAAAACCACTTGGCAACTTCTTCCTCCCTGATTTACCCTGATTTACCCTGATTTACCTGGCTTCCCTGTTCTGATCGACGCCAGACCGTGGTGGCAGTGCAGGTGACCACGGCAGTGACAGTGAAGGCTGTGCAGTCGCTCCGGTCTGCCACAGTGCAGGGGGACACCGTGAAAGAGCTGTCACACAGCCTGGAGCAGTCCAGCGATCTGCTGTATTGACAGGCTGTTATCAGTGGGCGATCACACAGCCCCCTCCATCTCCATTCACAGTGCGAGCCTGTTTCTACACAGGTCACTGGGAGAGCAATCTCTCTCTGTCTCATCCTCCTCTTCCTCTCTCCTCTCCTCTTTTCTCTTTCTCCCTGCCTCCTCTCCCCTCATTCCTCCTATCCTCCCCTCATTCCTCCTCCCCTCTCCTCTCCCCTCATTCCTCCTCCCCTCTCATTCCCCTCTCCTCTCCCCATATTCCTCCTACCCTTTCCTCTCCCCCGTCTCCTCTCCCCTCATTCCCCTCTCTCTCTCAGGTCACAGGACTCTGTATGTGGGGGTGCGGATGCCCCTGGGGAGACAGAGTCACCGACACCACCGACCCCATGGGCAGAGGCACCGCAAGCGGGAGAGAATGAGGGGCACAGCGCCAGAGGAGGGTCCCTCTCACGGTAAGAGACACACAGGACAGGCAGGGGCACTACAGACACACAGACACTGACACACAGGACAGGCAGGGGCACTAC